CTCCCTCCTTTTTCTTTTACTTTCTCTCATTCTCCCTTTTCCTCCTTACTCCTTCCTTCCTCTCCTCCTCCTTCCACTCCCTATTTCCTTCCCTTCCTCCCTCCCTTTCTTTTTCTCCCTTTTCCTTTTCTTCCTTCCTCTCCCCTTTCCCTCCCTCCTTCCATTCTTTCTCTCTGTATTTCCTTCCCTTCCCCCTCCCTTTCTCCTTTTCCTCTCTTCTTTCTTTTTTTTCTCTCTCCCCCTCTCTCTCTCCCTTTCCCTTCTTGCTCCTTCCTTCCTCCCCCCTCCCCAAATATACTCTGCTGCACCCCCTCCCCCTAATCCAGGACCCCCCCCCCCCCGAGTCACGAGGGAGGCCTGGATGTCCGGGATTGAAGCCCCCGTGTGATGCCCAAACGCAGCTGCCAAGCGGGGGGGAAGGACCTCTGTGCCCATCATGCTGGGCTGGTGGGTCCTGTCGGGGGGGGGGGGTCCCAGCCTGGGCGGGAAGCAGCCCACCCCCCCAGCCCATCTCCCTCCTCCAGGCCCCTTTTCCAGGCCCGGGGGGGGGGGGGGGCAGTGCTAGTGCCCCCCTCGGCCAGCTGAGGAATGACAGGGCAGGAGAGCGACGGGGAGGGTGACTCCCCTTATGCAAATGTTCCACCAATGGCCATCCAGACAGCCAGCTGGCATGACGGGAAACGCACAGGGGAGGGAGAAACCCCCCATTTTCACCCCCAAATCGCCCCACGGGCCATGCTGTCCCAGTCCAGCCCAGGGATCGAGCCGGGCGGAATTGATCCCCTGGGATCTCTTTGCAAGCCAGTCCTGCTCCCCGAAACCTGGAGGACCCTCCGCAGGGGAGTCTCGGGCGCCATCCGCCTGGCTCCAGTATCGCTTCTCGGCCTTTTGGCTAAGATCAAGTGTAGTATCTGTTCTTATCAGTTTAATATCTGATATGTCCTCTATTTGAGGACTACATATTAAATGGATTTTTGGAACTGGGAGATGGAATAGGGGCTTGCTCCGTCCACTCCAAGCATCGGCCTGGTATTGCAGTACCTCCAGGAACGGTGCACCTCCCCCTGGGAGGAATCTGGCTGGTCAAAAAACAGATCTAAATCTCCCTCTTGGGGGATCCTTTGCTCAGGGATCTGGTTCTACAGGATCTGCCTCCCCATTTGCTCCTGGGTGCAAATGATGTTAGATGGGCAGGCAGATGAACGGGGAACTAGTCCCTGGGATGATGGGTGGGTGAAAAAGCCAATAGATCATAAAAGGATCCAGTTTCAGGGTAGGATCCAGTCTCACCCTATGAATGGGGTGCTTTGGCTCTTAGAATAATACGGTTGGCAGGGGCCTTGGAGGTCTTCTAGTCCAACCCCCTGCTTATTAATTGAACTGCGTAACTGGCGCCCTCTTAATTGAGGAGTGGGCGAAAATGGCTTCAATGCCTAATCAATCATAAAAGGTACATGAGGGGGGGGGGAAAGGACCCAAATCAAGCATTTCACCAGCTTCCCAACGTTTAAAACAAAACAAAACGTTTGTATTACCTTTGGTTTGCAACGTTGCATGTTTTTATTTTATTTCTTATTCCTTTTATTTGTTTATTTTATTTTATGATTATTTTATTTTTTGTTACTTTACTATATTTTATTATTTTACTTTATTTTTTATTTTATTATTATTTTATTTTATACTTTTATTTATTTTGTTATTTTATTTTATTGTTTGCTACTTTATATTTCATTATACATTGCAGATGTGGGCATCAGATCCATAAATCCTTGAGACAGCTTGACAGGTGGGCGGACAGAGAAAAACCTTTGATCCTGTTTTAATTGCTTGGGAGGAAAGAAAGAAAGAAGGAGAGAGAGAGAGAGAGAGAGAGAGAGGAAGGAAGGAAGGAAGGAAGGAAGAGGGGGCTGTTTGCTGAGCCATATTTGCTTTCTGCTTTGCCTCCTTGGCTCCTCCTTGTCCGTCCTCCTTCCTCTGCAAAAATGGCAGCCACGAAAGCGTTTGCAAAAATCCCCCGGCTGAAAAGATCCCCCGTTGGACAGAAGCTCCTGGCGGGATCCTTCGCTCCTTTCTCGGCATGGACAGGTGGAGGAGGGGAAACCGAATTGGGTTTTTAGTTCAGTTCAGTTTAATCTAATGTAATGGTTTGTTTTATTTTATTAGCTTAGTTGTGTTTCATTTCTTATTTTATTCCCTTATTTTATCACTGATTTTATTTTATGTTTTTATTATTTTGCTATATTTCATTATTTTATCTTATTACTTTATTTTATTTATTATTTTCTTTTTTATTACTTTATTTTGTTATTACTTTTATTTTATTTTTTGTTTACTGTATTTTATTATTTATGTTATCTTATTATTTTACTTTATTTTTTATTTTTTTATTTATGTTTTTATTTTACTCCTTATTTCTTATTTTACTTGTTCATTTTATTTTATGATTATTTTTTGTTACTGTACTATATTTTATTATTTTACGTTATTACTTTATTTTATTATTTATTATTTTATTTTATACTTTTATTTATTTTATTGTATGATTTTATTTTATTTTTTTGCTACTTTATATTTCATTGTTTTATTTTATTAATACTGTTTATTATTTTATTTTGATGACTTTATTTTATTATTTTATTTATTTTATTATCATTATTATTTTGTATTTTATTTTGATGACTTTATTTTATACTTTTATATTATTATTATTATTATTATTATTATTATTATTATTATTATTATTATTATTATTATTATTATTATTCTGGTGGGATGCTGAGAACGAGCCAGCTCTACAAAGCAATTCTTTGTCCTGCATGCTTTGCTCATTGTACATTTTTTCTGCACCATTTGGACTGTCAGAAATTGTCAGCGGTTTGATTGCTGGTTTGCTTTTGCCTTCGTATCTTTGGGTTAATTCCATGGGTTTTTGGGGGGGTCAGAAAATTGCACTGAGCCTCGAGGGGATGGAAGCAAAATTCTTTTCACCGCTGAAGGGTATTTAATTACATTTCAAAGGCAGGACAGGACAGGAACAGAGAGCTATTTCTATGCAAATTTACTTCCTCTTTTAAAAAATCAGAATAACAAGAGTTGGAAAGGACCTTTGAAGGTCTTCTGATCCAACCCCCCTGTCCCATTTCAGACAAATCACTTCTTAAAAACCTCCATTGTTGGAGCATTGGCAACTTCTAGAGGCAAGTAGTTCCACTGATTAATTGTTCTGACTATCAGGAAATTTCTATTTAGTTCCAGGTTCTTCCTTAGTTCTAAGTTGCTTCTCTCCATCCGTTGCTTCTTGTCCTGCCTTCTGGGTGTTTTGGAGAATAGCTTGACTCCCTCTTCTTTGGGGCAGCCCCTCACATATCCGAACCCTGCTATCCTGTCCCCCCAAAGGCCTTCTTTTCATTAAACCAGACACCCCCCACAATTCCTGCAACCGTTCTTTATAAATTTTAGCCTCCGGCGCCCTAATAATCTTCGTTGCTCTTCTCCGCACTCACGTTTGACCCCGAAGGAAGGAAAACATCACCGCGCATCCCGTGGCGTGGTGCCCACCTTCAATTTCTCTCCATCCCACCTCTCCTCTTTGCAGAAGATCTCCTTCAAAACATGGACCAGCGGGAAGCTTGGGATCGCTTCTACGCCCAGAGGGAGAGAAACGGATCTCCCCGTCCGTTCGACTGGTTCTTTGGCTACAAAGAGATCTCAACGCTTCTCGGCTCTGTTCTTGGGAGACTGACCCCTGGCCGGCTCCGGGTCTTAGACGTCGGCTGCGGCACGTCGTCCTTGGGCTTGGAGCTCTACCGACGCTGGCCCGTCCAACTTCACGTCTCTTGCCTGGACTTTTCCTCCGCAGCCGTTCAGTGTCTCTCTCGGATGCGGCGGGAGAGCCCCCCGCCGCGCCACCCGCTCTCCAAACTGGAATGCTACCTGGGCGACGCCACCGAGCTGTCCCGCCTCTTTGCTTCGGGGTCTTTCCACTTGGTTTTCGACAAAGGGACCTGCGATTCGGTCCTGCGGGGATGCCCGCAGCGAGCGAGACGCTTAGTGTCCGAGTGTCTACAAGCCCTGAGGCCGGAAGGATGTCTCGTCCAGATCTCCGACGAGGATCCGGACGCCAGGGTGCCGTTCCTGGAAACGGCCGGCGAGGCCAACATCAGCATCAGGGAGATCACCAACGTTAGCGGCATCTCGTATTATGCTTACATGCTCAGCCCAAAATGTTCTGACCCAGTTCCCCAAACACAACAGACCCCCGGGAAGTGAAGTCAAAAGATTCCTATAGTAGGAGTGCCGGCAGCCCCGGCAAAAAATTCTCACCGCAGGCTAACAAGTCCGTCTGTCTGGAAGATGAATAGTTGTCTGTCACACCTATTCATTTTCGCACCTTACCTTTTATCCCCAGGGGCTTTGCTAGCAGTGGTGGCTCTTCCGTCCCAAGGACCGGCCCATAGATTTCCACTGCTCTCCTCTCCTCTGCTTTCTATGTGCCAGGCACTGGACGCAGCTATTCCTCCTCTTCCTCATCAGCCATAACCAGACCTGGGGGCTGTTGACTCTCCATCCGAGGGATGACGGATGGTCCAGGCTCCGCCCCTCTCTCTCTCTCTCTCTCTCTGCCTACTCCATTCCCTCTTTCCCCTCGGAGCTCTCAAGTTGCCTTAATGCTGACCCTGACTCCGATGCCTCCTTGTCTTGATTCGGCTGTTGGAGCGGCCGGCGGCCAACAGGCCACAACACAAGAGCTCCAGACCCATCACACAGGGGGCAGCCCTCCGAGGAATCCATCATCGAGGGAGATCTAACGACAGACGTAACTACCACACCCTTCATCATACACTCCAGTCGTTTAGAGGTGGTTGTTTTCTCGATCTGGACTCTCGGATGCCGCGAAGCAAAGCCTCAAACACAAGCCAATTCTTTTATTTATGTTATGCTTAGGGGCTTCGTTCAGCTTTCGTGGAACAAGCCATGGTTGGCTTGCTGCGGGCAAGCCATAAAAGCTAGTTTCCAAACAACAGGAGCTCTGCTCTCCGCCCGACCAAGTAAACATGACTCTTAGTGGAAATCTTGAATTTCAAATACAAATATTGGCGGCCATTCTAGACTTGAGAAGACCAGGATGTGATTTATTAAAAGAAAAGAAAAAAGTTGCCATTTCTTGATTTCGTTGCAATTTATTTATTGAATTGTCAGGGAGGCACCCAGAGTCCTTCAGAGTTGGGCAACCCACAAGCATATTCAATTAATACAAATTATTATTATTATTGTTATTTAGAATACAGTATGTCTCTAAACTTTCTAGCTGTCGCAACACAGCGCCCATTTTCTCAGGCCGTGCCACAAATTCTCAGGTCGAAGCCTGTGATCCATTCCGCTTTTACCATAAAGTTGCAGGAAACGCGACAGCCATAATTTTATTCCGCGATCAGTTAACCTTCCTTGCAGGATGATTCTCCCGACCGTTTCGACCTGAAACGCTGAATCGAACACGATGAGCGGCGAACGTGTGGGAATATTGCTGCGCGGGTAGAAACCGTTTCCTTTCTAAGCAGTTCTTGACTTACGACGTAGGGCTGGTGTCGGGAGTTTGATGAATAAGAACGAGGCCAAAATAGGGTCGAGGGAAACACACCTTCACAATCTCCACATTGACTCGGTGCTACCAGCCAGGTTTCCCATCCTGGTCGTGGTTTATAAGAGGTTTAGGAAAACGTCGTCTCGTCCCATCGATCTTCAGGTTTTATAATAAGAGATCTTCCATGTCATTTTCAAAAGAGGAAAACCCTTTGAAAAAAAAATGTAAGAATAGAATAGAATAGGGAATAGAACAGAATTCTTTATTGGCCAAGTGTGATTGGACACACAAGAACATCTGGAGGAGTTTCTGAAGAACACCTGGAACTTCCGAGGAACATCTGGAAGAGATTCCTAAGGATCCTAGCACAACAGTGGCCATCCAGCTACCCAAAGGACCCAAGGCCAACCCTTCTCCCAACCCCGAGCTCACCAGCCTCCAGTGGCTCCTCCTCTCCTTCCTCCTTGTCAGCCAGGAACTCCTCCGGCTCGTCCCCTTCCAGCGACGGGAAGCCCTCCGGAGGCCACCGGAGCTCCCCACTCTCCCCATCGCTCCCTTCGCTGGGCTCCACCACGATGGAGGGAAGGCGGGTCTTCCGGAAGACGAGGCTTTCGCAAGGGGTCTCCTCACAACAAGGCCACCGCTCCGGCTCCTGGGACCCCTCCAGAAGCCTTTCGGCCTTGCTGAGAAGCTCCAGGTGATCGTGGGAGGACATCCCTTCACAGAGGAAGCCCTTGTCCCGGGGAGGGGTCTTCAAGAGGTCCCCCCCCAGATCTTGTGGAGGAGTCAAAAGGGCCTGGGGGGCGGTCAGGAGATACAACAGCATTATTCTTATACTTCATTTTATTCTATTTATTATTTCCTGTTTTTTCCATTCCGTTCCATTTTTGGTACTGTTTCATTTTATTATATTCATTTGTTTATTTTATTATCCGTATATCCCACCTTTATTATTTTTACAAACAATTCAAAGCAGTGAACGTACGCACTTTTCCCCCTCCTATTTTCCCCACAATGACAGCCCTGTGAGGTGGACTGGGCTGAGAAAGAGTGACAGGTCCGAAGTCACCCAGCTGGCTTTCGTGTCTTAAGGCAGGACTAGAACTCCCAGTCTCCTGGTGATTGGCCCAGTCACCCACCTGGCTTTCATGTCTAAGGCGGGACTAGAACTCCCCGTCTCCTGGGGATTGGCCCAAAGTCACCCACCTGCCTTTCATGCCTAAGGCGGGACTAGAACTCCCCATCTCCTGGGGATTGGCCCAAAGTCACCCAGTTGGCTTTCTGCGTAAGGCGGGACTAGAACTCCCAGTCTCCTGGTGATTGGCCCAAAGTCACCCACCTGCCTTTCATGCCTAAGGCGGGACTAGAACTCCCCGTCTCCTGGAGATTGGCCCAAAGTCACCCACCTGCCTTTCATGCCTAAGGC